AATTAAATAAGTCCTTGGTAAAGACACCGTTTCACTTGCGCCCAGTATTATTTGGTTTTGAGAAAGGCGAGGGGGAAACGACTATGGTAATCCGGCTGACAGCCGTTTGGTAATCCGGCAAGGGTAATCCGAGGAAATTCAGAAAAATCTGGCGTAATCCGGGGAAATTTTGAGGTAATCCGGGAAAATTTTGGGGTAATCCGGGATAATCCTAGAGAAAAGGCGACGTATTCCGGAGGACACTCCGGAGGTAATCCGGGTAATCCGTAATCCGGCTGACACAAAGTTTAACAGTCGTTTCCCCCTCGGAGAAAGGTCACCATTTGCACTATTGCTACTGCAGCTACTGTGGACCCACCACCACCAGGCGACCTGTGAGTGAAGGGAGTTTGGGGGAGGTACAGTCTGTAACCTCCTCCTGAGAGAACGGGCGCCAGTTGTTTCCCTGTGTGACGCACAGCGGGTTTCACATAATCATGCGCGTTCCTTCTGAACTCGATACAACAGTTATTGCCTCTCTCCGCTTTCTCATCGATAAGCGACAGGCAGCCCCTTCAGCCCATCCCAGGTGCAATGAACGAGAGCAAGGTCCACCCAGGGATCGCCTCACTTTGGGAGCGCGGGTGTCTATCTATCTCTGTCCCTATTTCCCCATTGGCCGGTGCGAGAGAGAGAGAAACACCCGGCGATCACGAGGTGAGCAGACCCCTGGCCTAGCCTTTTGGGGTCACCCGAGCCGAGGGCGAGACGACTTGGGTAATCCGCTAGACACAGCAGCCTGATTCCATCCAGGTGTAGTTCGGGGGTAATCTGGACGTGATCCGGAGGTAAACCGGGAGTAATCCACTGGTAATCCGGGAGTAATCCACTGGTAATCCGGTGTCCAGGGTAATCCATTGTACACAGTCGTTTTTCACCCGTCCCGGGCCCATAAAGGTGTGTCCGACAGTCCGGCCGTATGCCCCTCTAATCGACAATTAATCAGACACACATAAACCCCCGCCGCGGAGCAAAAACGGTCGGGCGCGCGTCGCTATCGCCGCAAGAGCATAGTCACCGCTATCAGCAGAGAGAGAGGGGGGGGGGGGGAGCTAGGGCCGGGGCGCGTGCCCGCAGACAATCAGGTAATTAGCGCTGGTTGGCCAATTAACAGCCGAACATCTTCCGTCTCGCTCACTCCTCACTCCCTCCCATCTCTCTCTCTATCTCTCTTCGATCGGAATGAAATGTGTACGGCAAGAAAGACAACATGTCCCGACTCCACTGGTAAAACAAAGGTGCTAAGTCGTGCCTTTCCTGGGGCACTAAACATATTTTCAGTTAGGTGCCTTTCAAAGGCGCTAAATAGGGCACTAAACAGCTCAAAAGGTGCTAAAAATTAGTGCTTTTGGCACTTTTAGTGCCCTTAAACGCTTAATGCCTTACAAGAGTTAGCACCTTTGATTTTCCAGTGCCGCTCCTCTGTCCGCGCAGTTCGGCTGACCGCGACACAGCTATCGCCGTGGCTCAGGCCGATGTACTCGGAGAGGAATACATAGTCCACCATCATCCCCCCCGGGGTCGGCCGGCCCTCGCCTTGCACCGAGGTTAAGTTCGCGTCCGACGGTGAGATGACACTGGCACCCGTCGTGTTGCTCGGACCGCGCCCGCTCACAACCGTCTGACGGCACAAACACACACACGCACACCAGCACCCACACATATATTGAACGGGAAGGGAAATTTTGTGTCAAGCGAAAGGTGTGCTCCAAAGCACTTCTCAATCAAAGAGAATTTTCATTTTAAAAAATCTAAAGTAGACACAAAAAAAGAATCTGTACTCAGGACTCAGGACGGGTACAAACAGTAACTTTTCAGGTACAAACTTGTACCCTATCGAGATGAGATGTGAGCTCAAGAACAAAGATTGCCCCTTAGAATGCACAGAACCGCACAGAACGAACGGCGCTCCATTGGAGCCCATATCACGTGTCGCAAAGTAGTCGCAAGGTTGTAAACCTATTAAGGCCGTGGGGTGCTTTCCACGCGACAGCGCAGCGACACGACACAAACACAGAGCTTAAAGTGGTACTAGGCAGGCGTTTAACACTGAACGGCACTTGATTATATAATTTTGCTAGTCAGACAATATAAATTGAAATGATGGACGTGCAGTCGGGGTGAAACAAAAGTAGCATACTACGGTTCGTCATGAATTGATTTCGGACGCGCTGTCGTCGTCGAAGCGCACGGCGCACCCCAAATGATGCTCCCGGTAATACCTGTCTTGAACCGCGACAAAAAGCCGGTGAGGAACATGTCGTCGGAGCGGGTGCAGTCGTGTAGTTGGGGTGCCGCGGCCGGTCCGCCGATCGCGCTGCTGGTCGCCGACTGCGGGCCGGGCGGCAGCACACGGCGGCCGCTCCACGCGACGGACGTCGTTCACACCGGCGGGGCGCGGGTGTGCTGGCCGGGCTACGCGGGCACAATCAGCGTAAAGAGCGGTCTCGCGCAGACCAATGCGACAAAGTCGCCAAAAATGGACATTTGCCCCCCCCAGTAAGCGTCGTCGAGAATGTCGTGCAAGCCAACACTGAAAAACAAAGAGTTCAACTGCAAATTGTGCTACTTGAAATGCACACCTAGCAGTACAACACTTCATTGATATATCAGTCAGTGCAAGTGCAGCGCTCTCGCGCCGCCGGTGGGGTAGGCCACTCAACCAGCTCACGTGTGCTGTGTGTCCCGCAGGGCCTGCGGACCAGCGTGCTGGTGGGCGCGGTGGGCACGGCGCTGGGCATGTGGCTCAAGGTGGCGGGCTGCTGGCCCGACTACTTCTGGGTGTCGCTGATGGGCCAGGCCGTCGTGTCCGCCTCCACCAACTTCGTCATCAACTCGCCCGCACGCTTCGCCGCCGTCTGGTTCCCGGACAACGAGGTGTCCATGGCGCTGGGCGCGGCGCTCTTCGGCCAGATGGTGAGTACACGGAGAGGTGAGGAGAATGCGTGAGTGGGAGTGAGAGAGCATGAGGGCGTGAGCATGAGAAAAGTGAGCGAGGGTTTCTGTGAAGGAGAGCGCCTGGTAGGTAGGCAATGCATTGCACACGTCCTGGGCGGGTGGCCTACCCTAAGGTTCGCAGGGGCCCATGGAGAAGAAGAGGGAGGAGGGGGCGCGTACAACACACAAACCGTGTGCAAGCGCGCGCGCGCGCGCAGACGCGGGTCGGGACCGCGGGGCTGGGGCTATCGATGATCGTAATCCGCGCTTGACGTTGGCGGACGCGACGCGGCCCGCTTGGCGAGTAAAGCTGCGGGACTTACAGGCGTGTCGTCGCCGCGCGTTCTTGCTGCGGCCCGGGGCCATTCGACATCGGTACATCCACCAGGCTG